ATTTCTCTCTTTGGACACATTAAGAATGCACCTGCTGAACAAAACTCTGCACTGGCGACAGGAAAGGCATCCGGCCAATAAACACTCAGCTCAAGTTGCCCAGACTCCACTCGGTGAGGGATTATAGGGTCATTAAAAAAAGTCGATGATGTCGATACGTCATTTTCTGGGCCACAAAACCTTTTGAACTAGGTACAGATACCCTGCATGCAGAGGTCGGATTCTATCGGTTCGGACTGGTTCGGGAGAACCAGGTGTTCAGTTTTACATCTGGTTCGCTGAACCAGTATTTGAACGGACCGGCTGCCCCTTCCCACTCCACCCTTCCCCTCCCAAGAGTTTCCACGTGGCCCCGTGCAGAGTCCGTGGGGAGGCTCTGGGAAGGGGTGGAAACCAGGCCTTCTGGAAGTATCGGAGTCTGGAAACGGGCCTATTTCGGGCTTCCGGAAAGTTCTGCAGAGCCCAGGGGAGGCCATTTTCACCTTCCCCCCAGAGGCCTGAGGGAAGCCTCCGGACTCTGGGAAAAGGATAAAACAGCCCTCCCGGAAGTATCCGTAGGCCACACCCATCATGGCCACACCCACCCAAGCAACTGGGCCGCGAACCGCTTTTCTGGGATTTTTGAATCCCGCTCCTGCCTGCGTGTCAGACCTCAAACATAACAAAAGGTGTTTTTTTTAAAAAAAGATCTTAGACTCCTACCGTTAATGTAGAGTATTTAGTATTTAGTATTTATTTGATTTGTCAATCGCTTACCAGATACAGGTATAAGAATAAATATAGTTTTGAATACATGAAATGGGTACGTATATGAAAAATAAAAAGAAACAATAGGACAGGGACGGTAGGCACGTTGGTGCGCTTATGCACACCCCCTACAGACCTCTTAGGAAAGGGGTGAGGTCAATAGTAGACAAACTAAGGTTAAAGTTTTGGGGGTTTGGGGAAGAAACCACAGAGTCAGGTAGAGGATTCCAGGCATTGACCTCTCTGTGGCTGAAGTCGTATTTCCTGCCATCAAGTTTGGTGCGATTAACCTTGAGTTTGTATCTATTGTGTGCTCTTGTGTTGTTGTGGTTGAAGCTGAAGTATTCATTGACAGGTAGGACATTGCAATGTATGATTTTATATACTATATTTAGATCGGACTGGAGGCAGCGTAATTCAAGGTTTTCTAGGTCTAGAGTTTCAAATCTGGTGGCATAAGGTATTCTGCAATGAGCAGAGGAGTGGAGAACTCTTCTTTTGAAATATTTCTGGACTTTCTCAACGGTGCTAATATCAGATACGTAATGTGGGTTCCAGACTGATGAGATTTCAAAGGATTTCATATCCATTACTGCTCTTAATTTTGGGTTTTTTTTTAAATGCCTCGGTTCTTTTTTGTTTCTGACTTTTGATGCGGGGGTGCAAACTTAACTGCTCCTGGGCGTGGCTTGTGGCTTACGGGGCATCGGTTGCAGGGTCTTGACTCTTTACAATACGGTCCTGAAGTGAATCCGGCTTCTCCATTGACTTGGCTTGTCAGAAGGTTGCTGAAAGTGGATCCTGCAACCATCGTAAATATGAGACAGTTGCCAAGCGTCTGACTTTTGGATCACGTGACCAGAGGGCCAACGGTCACTAAGCGAACTGTTCATTTCCGTCGGAAACTGTCCGTACTGGGCTGGTTTATATTTGCTGGGCTACTGCGAGGCATTGAACAAACAAGCATCAATCAAAACAAAACAAAACAACTAATCCTGGCTTGTTCTCATTTTCTCCCTGGGTTGATGTGTCCAGACGGAGAACTGAAATTGCACGACTGGTGTTGCAACAAGGCCGGAATTCCCCAGACGTGTGAGAAGTACGACCAGAAGCGACCCAAGATCGGTTGCCAAGGTTACAAACCATCAATCTGGGGTGAGTATTGCCTGGCTGCAAGCAGAGGAGGAGCCTTTGTGTGGCAGCAAAAGCAGAGGCGTCCCTTGGGAGTGGCAGGTCAAAAAAGTCAAAATGGCTACTTCTGGATGCATAATGGGGCATTCTAATCCTGCCTTAGGCATGAAAGCTGGCTGGGTGACTTTGAGCCAATCACCAGGGGATAGGGAGTTCTAGTCCCGCCTTAGGCACGAAAGCCAGCTGGGTGACTTTGGGCCAATCACCAGAAGATGTGGAGTTCTAGTCCCGCCTTAGGCATGAAAGCTGTGTGACTTTGGGCCAATCACCAGGAGATGAGGAGTTCTAGTTCTGCTTAAGCCATGAAAGCTGGGTGACTTTGGGCCAATCACCAGGGAGATGGGGAGTTCTAGT